AGGAGCCAAAGCATAGCTGCTCTGGCCCAACGCAGCCCCACAGCACTGCGCCGCGGGGAACAGGCGGGGCCACCCTGGCGCAGCAGGGATGCGGTTACGTGCTGGTTCCCCCACACCAGATGCAAGACAAATGTTATTGAGCAGAAATGCCACCATGGGGCTGTGACCCACAAGGATTGCAGTCTTGCAGCAGAGCAGGGCTGCCCCGCCTGGCGTGGAGGGGGCAGAGAAAGAGGGCATGACACAAGGGCAAAGGGAGGGACACCCTAGCTCCTGCAGCTCTCGCACCTCAGCCGGACGCTCTGGTCCCACCTACAGTGGAGTAGCACTGAGAGGCAGTTTCAGGCACCTCCACGTTGCTGGGGGACAGTCCGCAGTCAGGGAGGAGGAGAGGGGCAGGCGGTGGCTGGGCCGGGGCGGAACCTGGCTCCAGGCAGTGGGGTCAGCGCTGCCGGAGCAGCTATGCGAGAACCGCTGCCCGACGTCTCGGCTACTTCCCTTGCGAGCAGCCAGCTGGGGCTTGCCGGGGGGGCAAATTCCTCCGGCGAGGCCAGGGCCGCTTGAAAGGAGGCCTGTTCTCCGGGGCGGGAGGAGCGTGGTGGGGAGCAGCTTTGCCACAGCACCCCCAAGGAACTGTGACTCTTTCATCTCCTAAAAATAACAGGCAGGGGCGAGGGCTCAGGAGCCCCGTCACGGGCAGGGCCTGGCTCAACATGCACATTCCTCGCGCCGGAGCTGGGCCGGACACAGCCCCTCAAGGCAGCCCTTGCCGTAGAGCTGCCTCCCGCAGCCTCTGGCAGGGGCAGCCTCTGGCAGGGGCCGGAGCAGAGCAGGGGCTCTTCCAGGAAGGCGAGGAACAGACGGAGCTGCTCCTTCCCAGAAGGGCCGGCCGGGCTCTCGGCCACCAGCTGCAGAGCACAGGGAGGGCCCCAACTGTCCCCAGGGCCCGGGCTGCGTGCGTGGGAGAGCAGCGCTCCAGCACGGACAGACACCAGGCTGGGGGAGGGACGGGCAGTGCCAGCCCGGCACACATAGCCCTGGCCCCGGTTCCCACCTCTGGCTCTCCCGAACATGGGGGCAGTGAGATGCCACCCCAGCCACCTCAGAGTGCAGCATTGACACCCCTTTCACTATGGCCCGAAAAGCTGCTTCATGTGCGCAATGTGGATGCAGAGCTTAGAGCATTTCCAGTGCGCGCAGTGGAAGCAATCTGGTGGGGCCAGACAGACATCTGCCACCTCCCTCTGGCCTCGTGGGCACAGCCACCGCAGCGAGCTCTGCCAGGGACCAGCTCAGCTGGCACTCCAGGGAGGCTGGGAAAGCCGCCCCAGCAAAGCCAGCCCCAGAGCAGCTCCAGGGCTGCTCTCAGCGCAGAGGACGTGGTCTCACGAGCCATGGCTCGACGGGTGCCTGCATGTTACGGATGGAGAAGAATGGGATCCTAGCCTGTGTGTGTACTGAGTAGGTAGCAGGACACCTCTAATAGCGAGAAGGTCCCTGGAGGCACAGCCCATGTGCTCCCCCCCAGCTGGAAGGACTCGAGTGAGGACTGATAGGAGGGGCAGGGTCCCACACAGCCCAGCCTCCCCTATGCAACTGCCACGGGAAGGAGGCCACAGGGCACTGGGGGGTCCCTAGAAAAGTGCTTTATTTGAGTAGGGGGGAACGGTTGCACCACGAGTCCACCCAAGCACCAGGCCAGGCCCCCCTGCCTGGCCCCTTCCAGTCCCTCACAAGCTCTCAGTCTCTCCCTGACTGGCGCACAGACATAGCTCAGTCCTGCGTCCTCGGCTCTCAGCCAGCACTGCCAGCCAGCGCCCACAGTGGGCTGCACGACAGCACCGCTACTCCGTGACCTCGGGGACAACGCTCACCAGCAAAGTGTCGTAACCACGCCGCACCAGCAAGGTCAGGCTCTGCTGCGTCCGTACTGCCTCGTATACATCCTCCGCGCGGCGCGATGCCTGCCCGTTGATCTCCAGCACGACGTCACCTGCCTTCAACCCTGCCCTGTGGGGAGAAGGACGAGAGAAGTGCACAGTAGGCGAAGTAGACACTCAGTTTTGTCTTCCCAGAAGGAAGGAGAGCCAGGCGCTACAGGAGGCTTGGGCCGCCGCACCAGTCCAGTCGTCCCTCCAGCCACACAGGTACCTGGGCCAACGGGACACCAAGCCTGGGCAAGGGTCACCAGTTGGTTCCTGCTGCAGACTGACAGCTGCGGGGCCCAAGCCCTGCTGCTCTGGAGCAAAAGAGTCAGAGCTAAATACATCCCATCCTGCATAGTTGCTCTCTCATGCCACCCCTCAAGGCACAGGGCAGCACTTACTGATGGGCTGGGGAGCCAATGATCACCTTGTGGATTAGCACTCCGTAGGAGACGTCAGGGAAGCTGGGGTCACGCAGCTTCAGCTCAGCCAGGATGCTGCAGAGTAAAAATCAGCGTCAGGTAAGGAGCTGGGAGGCAGAGCAGGGCTCCCACCCCACCATGGCTGCACAGGCTTGGAGACCATGGCGCAGAACCTCTCCCCCTGCGTCCCTGCATGCTGCTAAGCACAACCAACCAGCTGCAAACCCCAGGGGCACCCAAACACCACCATCTTCCTGTCAAAAACGAGAGGATAAAAGTCCTTACCGCGCCAGGGAGTGCTGGGAACTACCAGAGCAGCCGCCAGCTGGATCACAGCTGCTGGTGATGCACGTTCCCTGTCTGAGCAGCCCCATGTCAGACCTCCCTTCCTCATATCAGACCTACCTCTCCCCTGCTGCAGTTTCACTTCTCTGCCTTTGGTGGGTAGGACACAGAACAAAAGCTATGCCCCCTCTTTTTGCCAGATGTGTCAAACAGAGGTATACCCACATCTCTCCTCCGGAGTCCATAGAATAAACAATCCCAATTCTTCAATCTTCCCACAGATTAGGTTTTCTAAATGTAGCTTAAATTCTGCACCTCTCCCTGCTCCTCTCTGGACTCCCTCCAACCGCTCCTCACCCCTCCTGAAAGCATCCAGAACCAGACACAGCGCTCCAGCTGGATCTCACCAGAGCTGTGCATCGTGTAAGCTGCATTCCTCAAAAACACATCCCTCAAACACTGTGCATCAGCTCTGATCCACTGCAGCCCCAGGAATTCTCATGGTCTCTCTGTCCAGCTCCTTGTGCTCCTCAGCA